TATAATCACATTGACCGAGCACGGATGTAAATTTGATCCTAATAACATCAGTTCGCATCCTGATTGGCAAATCTTTTTGTTCGCAATACAATTTTGAAGAATCGATATTGGCTGCATGAGTCACAGTTCAATTCATGAATCAATTATTCCTTGGCCATTGTGCACCATTAGAATTAATATAGCCTGCATAGATCACAATTCGATTCACAAATAAATTATGTTTTTTTTAATGTGGCTGATGTGGAATCTATATAATGGTGGCAGTGGTTACAATTCGATTCGTGATTTATTTTTTTGCACCACGGCAGACCATGTAGAATCCACAATGTATTGTAGAGCAGCAGCAGCGTATTCCCGTAATCTAATAATTGAAGACGAGGAGGGTTGGTAATCGCATAGTTTTTGTGAAATTCCGCAAGTTCATTTTCTGTGAGGTGGCGAGTAAAGAATTGTCTGGACAGTATTGCAACTGGGTCCATGAACTTCAGAATCAGAATCGGAATCTTTTTTATACTGGGAGGAATCGGATGAGCTATGAAGCTATTTTTCACCTTGTGCCTCAGTTTTCTACGGGTGCTATGCTTCCTTTCCACATGAAAAAAAAACACTCATGAATGGGATTGGTAAAATATTAAGATTGCATGAAATCGTTGCATAAGTATTTTGAGATTCAAGTGAGACTTTTTTGGAGAAGTAAATGATTACCTGGTCATTAAATACAAAACAAATTGTGGAACCACTTGCTGTGGTCATGTCTTACAATATTTTAAAAAGTTTACATTTTATTTGTAGCTTCAACGTAAAAAAAATGTGTAAAATGTTAACCGGTTGATTGTCTTTAATGATACGTAAACCCGATGTAATCAGTCGCTAGGTATTGTTTAGCACATATTAAAATATGATTACGTATTCTCAGAAGATAGCAGTACATTTGGAAGGGCAGTATTTGCGAATTGAGCCTGAATAAACATTGCATTAAATGTATAACGTACCATTAATGCCCCTCTTGTGTTTGCATATATTATTAAAGGCACTTTATAAACTGACATAAAAAAACACCAAGATTACATTTAAACTAAGGGAGAGAATCAAGAGGGCCAATTCTCAACAACAAAGCATGTGCAGGCACCCCTTGAGTGTGACGTGAATGTAATTTTTCAACTTAATTTGCCCCTCGTGAATCGGCGGATGGACTTGTGCTGTCTGCGGATCAATGCGCAGATTCCCAATGCAAACAATTTCTTCCGTCGCCGCTGACAAACACCGATGCCCCATGCTGACCCGGTCCACTTTCCAGGCACTTAAAAACAGCCTCGTCAGAGAATGTCCTTCGGGCCGGGGCGAGACGAATGGTAATGCGATGTCAGAGCCGCGGGGCACGCGGGACACGCTCCTGCTGTTGTGCGGCTCGTGCACTTGCATGTGAGGGTTGCCACCTCTGAGGTTCCAAAAAAGAAAAAAAAAGACGGAACACTTCACGGGGAAAATAATATCTCGCAAAACCCGGAGAGAGGAGAACTACGTGTGAATTATTTGTCTTGAGTGGTGCATTAAAATACGCAACCGACGAAAACAAAGATTATTTTAATGTCCTGGCAGGGCGAACAGACATCCCAAGATGCCTACCTGAAAAAGATGACGTTCTGGAAAAAACAGGACAGGTTGGCAACCCTACGCATCTGATGTTGATCCCAGGTGCCGTCACCTCTGCTGATTCCCAACGCTGGCTCTTTTTGGGGTCACGGATTGTGAGCGGTTGATTAATGTTTTAAAATAATGTATTGATGCTATACTGACACAAATGCAAACAAAGGCTGAAAAGTAAGCAAATAAACACATAGAGACGCATTCCTTGGAAATCGCTGAGCTACAAAGAGGGCACTCATAAACCAGATAACAGATACAACGAGAGGCATATTATAGACTATTGAGACGGTGTAAGTGGACTCTGACTATGACACATTTCCATAAAGTAGAAAGTAAGATGACCAACGGATGAGACTTATGATGGAATGGCAGCGAAATGAGGCTAAATTCTCAAGAGGACGACCACTGTCGCAGAGATGGAACACAGACCTCAGCTCGTGTGCGGGAGCGAGATGGAGCATTGCGACATCATTAAGGTCCAGCAGTGGATATAGCAAGGCTGGTGATAATGATTATGATGAGAGAATATTGACATTGAGTACATCATTCTGTTCGTGAGAGACCTAAGGACATCGTTAAGGAACACGACCCAAGGCTACACATACACGTCACGTGCGTGCGCATTTGCTGAGCACAAACCAAAACCAACGAGCATGTATTTGTTTCTCCTGCGACACGTTTTCTATGCGATTTCCATACCGCTGAAATGATGAGGTTTGATTAGCCGTGAAGTTTGTCCTTAACATCACTATTTTACTGAATGACACTCACGGATCGGGTTGAACGTGGCAGGGTATACAAGTACATAACTCGTACACGTTACTGTTCTAATTATTTTAAAAAATCTCCTAACTCTAGGAAGAGGGTAAGTGATCCACCTGAAGACGGAGGCTTGTGTTGCCTCCGAAACGTCGTGAATTAAAAAAAAAAATTATTTTACTTTTATTAATTTACATTTTTTACCTACGTGACTTTACCGAAAAAACCTAAGAGTATGATCTAAAACAGTTATATATAGTGAAAACACGAGCTTTCCTGAAGCCTTGTATGTGGAAAGGCCTGTCATAGTTTTGTATTCGACGATACAATAATACAATTATTCACAGCGGTCTAAAGTGGGTCCTAATTTGCAAACACCGCCGTGTTAATCATCCAACAAAACATAAATGTTTCACGTTATGGTTGTAGCACAATCCACAAGCCACATTTCCACCAGTCTCTACTCAAAACTCAAAGAGTATGCCAGGCTAGCCAAATTTACAGCCGATCTGATCATTTACTCTCTATTAAATGTGCTTAAGAGAACATAATCTGAGAGGACACATTTGCTGACTCAAATTTGTACATGTTACAGCACTGCGGTAGGTTCTGTGTGTGGACATATTGGGTTGCAAATATCGCACTGTACAGTAGTTAAAACATTTTTTACTATTAAGAGCCACCGATCAATTATTCCACTACGTCAGTTGAGCTCCTCTTGAAATAAGGGGGGGGGGGGGGTCACATGGGAGTCTCTATTATGATTTTCTCCAAACGCCACATGGCCATGCCCACGGTATGGGATAATTTCCTGAGCACTGATATGCCTTCATTTATGTTGCCGTTATATTTGAAGGGAAAATTGGGCTCGCAATTCCCCGCCCACCCAAAAAAAAATTGTGCATTTCATTTTGCTCCTCTCTAAGCATTCACAAAGCCTCAATGAACCGTGAGTATTTTGTAAAAAGGTGATTTATAATGAGTACAATCGTTTATGGCGCCAATCTGAAACTCCTTAACAGCGCAAAATAATGGGATCGAGGATTTGCGGAGACCTGCAAATAACTGCATACATGTCCCTGTGAGCGTTCACTCCTGTATGCTGTGACTGTCTCAATTTGATTTATTGCATTTTGCTGTGTACACGTGCAGCTTTACTCTTGCACAAGTCTCGTCAACAACACTGTCTGTAGCCTAATCATACAGACACATGTGCTCAAGCGGGTCACGGATGACAGTCTAAAATTACAGCTCAGTGGAAGTGCGCGAGTTAAAATGACACATTTACGGCTACTGGCCGACCTCCCGATGCAACTGTTCATTGCCAAACAACACCATTGCAGCTCGGCGTTTAGAAGGGCGACTCGTATTTGCGCTCTGCTGTATCAACCGGTGTCCTTAACAACAGCGAAATGCCACTGTGCAAGTTTTCCTTCCTTCCTCCGTTCTCGTTCATTCATTCACACCGCACTCATTTAACAGCACCGCAAGTTGGCGTTTGTGAATTGCCAGTCGTGCGTTGAGTTTCTCGTGCCAGTGGCAACAGGAGGCAGCGGTGGTGGTGGTGGTGTCGCTGTTTGTGACAGCAACCGAGGCACGTGGGGGAGATTGTAGTAAGACGTGAAAGTCAGCAATGTCGACAAGGAAAGGAGAAAATATACAAGGCCCGTCCGTGTACGTTGTTGTGCTTAACCTTTACGTAGACTAAGTGATTTATTGAGGCTGGTTACTGAATTCGAGCCCATTTTTGATGGATGTTAAAGGGCCAAACTAAAAAAAAATGTTGCACACGTGCGTGGTAGCGCATCAATTGCAAGCACCATGGTTTGGTGCAAAGAATGTTAAAATGTCGCTTGTCAGTGCAGACACGTGTGGTAATGCTATCCACAAAAGAGCAAACCGCTACCAGAAAAAAAACACATTACACACATCTGTATTAAAGCACAACAGGCCTGAAATAAAAAAACGCTCCATTCTGCGAGTCTCACAGACCTCTTTCATTTATACCATTGTGTATCTCTGTCAACCCGTAACCAATAAGAAATACATTTTCCCAGAGTTAATAAGATGTCCTTTCCATGTGATTGCAGTGGCACATTGTTCAATTTGAGTGTTCCTTCTCACAGAGTGCATATCAGGATTTTAAAAAGACCTGGAAACGTGTTTTTTAAATTAAGAGTTTTTTTACCATACTGTAACTCCGTGTGCATACAAAGCTATACAGTTTAACACGTAGGCTTTCGCGATCAATATTATTCATAATAAAGTTTTTGGGTTAGATCGCGTTATTTAGAAATGCGTCGTAACCCTCCACCACCTGACACGGCCAATCAGCAAAAAAGTGTCACGTTGACAAAAGACAAATAGTTCACTATTTTAGCCCACCGGTGTGTTGAAGAGTGAAACCACAAAAAAAATTGTAAATGTTGTGGTGTCACGCTTCAACACACCGGTGGGCTAAAGCAGTGAACTATTTGTCTTTTGTCAACGTGACACTTTTTTGCTGATTGGCCGTGTCGGGTGGTGGATGGTTACGACACATTTATAAATAACGCGATCTAACCCAAAAACGTTATTATGAAAGCGAAACACGTACACAGAAAATAGAACACGTGTGCAATACAAACAAATGAGGCCTTTCTAGATGGTTAAACTGGTAGAATGAATGTCGTCGTTGACTCCAAATAGCCCGCGCAGCACACGAGGGGAGGAACCCATGTGCCATGCACCGATGGTTTCGTCTGGCAGCTCTTGGAGTGTTCGACTGGATAACAACCATCCTCCCCAGCGCTGTCTGTGCAGAGACTCACACACACACTGCAGAAATATATTTTATAAATCCACTGCTGGACGAAGATCACCCCGCACACTACATGTAGTATTTGACTGCTAGAAATGCCCACGTGATGATAAGCCATTTTCGTTGAGCCATCACTTGCATACTCTTTGTTTTTTCGGTAAAGTCACGTAGGTAAAAAAATTGATGTGACGGTTCCACCTGAAGACGGAAGCTTGTGCGTCGTGATTTAATTTATTTTAATTTTTTACTTACGTGACTTTACCGAAAAAACAAAGAGTATGAATCCTTGCAAGTCACGAAAACTTCAAATCTAGAACTATCACTTGCTGCCAGTTCGCGACTTAAAAAAAATTGCAATATAGCTCAGTGGGCCATTACCTGGTAAAATAAACATAGTTTAGCATAATTTTTGTAGGTCACGAGGGATGTTTGATAATTATAAATGGCCGTGTTGGTCAGTGCCTGCCATCGAGTTCAGAGCGCAGAGTTTGACAACCACTGAAAAATCGTTCTAACTCCACACGCTGCAGACTGCTACACTGTAATGTATAGTGACCCCCCTCCACTCTTCCTCGCCCCCCCCTCCAATAATTTGGTGAGTTTTTGCACTTAAGGGTTGTAATTTCATTAAAGAATGTACTCCTTTGTTAACATTGCGGGGAATGGAAGTGCCTCCATCAGCCACAGGGGTGGTGATGGAAAACCATTGCATACAACATAGACAAATCCAAAATAATGTATTCTGATGTAATTTGATGCCTGTATTGTCAGATTCATCACCATCCATGATCAATCCACTGCTGGATGAAAGCCTCCACAAACTGCCGGCACCTCTCACGATCCTGTGATATGACAATCCATCCTACAACTCCACAGTAACTGACCTCACCGCTCCATCTCCTTGGTGGAAGTCTTTTTGGATATGTACCACTCCTCGAATGACACTAAATAATCACGCTCATCTATTAAAATAAAAATCACGTACATAAAACATTTAATGTTATAACAGCTACATACAAAAAATGATAATTCAATGCGCGATGTGATAATGCGAATTTGAACCAGACTGAATAGTAAATTGTGCAAAAAATATTCAGGATAAAATCAGACTACTACTCTTGGCATATGTAGAGTTTGGTCAAAAACTGCTCACAACGACATCCCAATTTAGTTTTACATAAACCTATGAGGGTTATTTTTAAGCATTGGTTTATACATACTGTATACGAAATGTACAAATAGAATTGGGTGAAATGACGTTGGCAGTTGCTTCTTTTGACAAATACAACTATCAAACATATTTTGACACCTCATTAAAATTATTTTTCAAAAGACGGTTTCGCAACAACCAAAAGCCATGCAATTAACCTATCAGCATGTTAGAATAAGATTTACACAGCATTTGCATTACACCTTGGAACATCTTGGATGGCTGCCAGCTTGAGAAGGCTGGCACGGCTTTGCTTCTCTGCTCAGCAGCTACGCACGCATATGGGGAGCAACCGTTAATTGTGTTGGCACTTAGCATCGGGCAATGTTCCATTCGTAAAAGTGTCGCATGTGGCAGAATTGTAATCGTAACAGCAGGAGTGGTGGCAGGGAAAAGAGTTGTCGTGCCGTGTTCAGCTTTCGGGGCAGCTGCAGAGAAACCGCATGTACCCGGTGTGCCTCACTGAATGGCTTCTCCCACGTTTGTTATCATTGACAGCACAGGAGCCCTCCCGCATCACGGGTTGCCAGCATCCTTGCCAATTTATAACAGCAGCCCTTCCCGCACGCCAGCACTTGAGGTTTTGTTTCTTTTGTATCGTTTTTTTATACCTCAGAGGCCCTTCTGCAAAAAAAAACATCACACGATGTGGCATATGCAAGTACATATTTTATATACGGGACATGTTATTTACAAACGAGGGGGAAATGCAATAAAATAATAACCACTCATGCATCTGCGGACTTCCTCGGCAGACATGTTGGGTGATATTTGCATGGGAAGCCATTTGTCTCTGTTCACACACGTGCAAAGATCCATTTCAGTCACAGACAGTGGTATTAACACGTGTTCCAGAGAGTTCACCTATTGGATATCATAGTTGTAGTTTCACCAAAAGACTAAAGCATCGCTCGTAAACATCTGATGCTCAGCACCGTTTGTTTGCTTTGTGACATTCATAGAACATCCATGATAACGTGCATTTTCATGTAGTGAGGAGGTTACGGTTGCTGTTATTAATGCTTATTTTCAGAATACAAAACTATTGTGCATTTATTAAGGTATCCAATGTACCTGAGCATATGTGAAATGAAACAGATGGTTTGGTGAAACTTGCGCTGGCAGTGGTACCCAAGCAAAAGACCCAATGCATGAACTGATAGCACGGCCTTCAAATGAAAAATATATAATTGGCAACATTTCAGGAAATGGCTCTTCTTCAAAGCAGGGTCACCCATAATGCAATGTGTAGTAATACATGTTTTTTTTATTATTACTGAAAGATTTTTCTGTTTTTCAATATCTGCTAATAGGTAACTGCATGCCAATTAAAAAAAAACTATTATTGAGGAAACATTTCTTTAATGTAATTCTCCTCAAGCCCCGTGGTGTATGGTGCAGTCTCCGACTCTTATTCACCCTAACCCGCTTGCCTCTCTCTATGCGCATGAAATGTCGCCTATTATATATTTGTTTTCCTTTTCAGGCCACGGTATTATTGACGGGTGTGTTGAGTTGTTTCTTGTTGCTATGTCTCAATGGAGAAATGCTGCAGGTATAATACTGTCCCATTGTCCCTCAAATTACTGTTCCATAGCCCCACATGCCATATGTGCAAATAACCCACAACGTAAACACATGTAAATACTCACATCACACCATATACACCGCATCCTCTAATAATCTTACTGTTTTTGAAACTGTAGCCTGCATTGATCATCCGATAAATTATATCCCGAGCTCCTTCCCATTTCATGACCCTAATCTGTGACTCTGCCAATCAAACTACATCAGGGACTCTGCGAGGCACCCAAGCGGCCCACGCATTTCCAATGCAATGTGAGGGGCATTTTGTATCGCACGTTGCACGGTGCATGACACGATGCGCATCCCACGTTTCGAATGTGAGCTCTCTGATGACAAAACCCACGACCCGTATCAAAGGTCTGTTAGCACGGTCAATTTGGGCCTTTTAGTGCCCGCAACAATCGGGCAACGCCAGCCAATAAAGTAGCGGCGAAGGCAGGGTGATGTTTTGACAAGCCAGCGAGGCAGAATCAGAATTCACTAATGTGGATTGGAATGATATGGTTCACCCACAACAAAATGTATGAAGGCATTTGTTATATTATACAGCGATGTTATTGATTTAATTAACTTTTGTCCTATGGATTTTTCTTCTTCTACTCGTGCAAGAGGGGTAGCAATATATCTGCGACGGACGATAGTCATGGTGATGTGTGCAAAGTGCTACAGTACATCTACAACCTTTTCATTCATTTGGGGGTAAGACTTGGCCCAAAGGGTCTGAAGGTAGTTTCCATATGTGCCATTACCATGCACTGTTGAACTCAACTACCACATTCAATAACACCTTCATGACTGCAAGTTGAAAGGTCGAACTAAAGTGTTCTGTTGGCAAAACGTTTATTTTTTTATTAGGTTTTAGCCCTTTAAAAAAATGTAAATGTTCGTGCAGTTGATATGCTCATGTTTGAAGCAAAAGCACGATCATTGTATGTTCGTTCACATTGTGTGATAGTATTAATCATGGTACAGCAAGGAATTGTATTACTTGTGTGTGCACAGCTATTACGAGCTGGGAAAGCAGATGCACTGAATCGTAGCCTCTGCTTCGTAAAAGGAGATACAAGCAGAACTACATTCTGCCACTCCATATCATACAGATGTAATGACAGGGTGCCACCTGTCGGCCTGGAAGGGTAATCACGGGTATGGGTAAGGTTATGTAACAACTAATCAGAAGGGGGGCATATCTGGGTTAAAGGTAAAAGGTGGGGGGAATTTTGCTTCGCTGTGAAGACAAGGGTGGAGTAGCACCAAGCCACGGTGCACTCGCAGTGCACCATCGATGCGACGCTGCACAATTATTTGTCATTCATTCGAGCAGCCCAAACATGAAAAGTGTACGGTTAAGGGTGCGATTCGGAGTTAATGTTTGGCAGGTTCAGTCGCTGCGTGGAGTTCGACGTATGAAGGGCTATGACCTTCCAAAGCCGTTCTGTTTACGTGGGATCAAGGTGCGCCGTGTGGGTCTTTGCGTGCGCTCCACTTTCTGTGTTCTTGTATGCACGTGGGACCTCGCGTTTACTGTTTCACCGTGGGGAGCGGTGGCTGCAGCGGTCCGCGCGCTGCGCTGCAAACCCGGCGACCCGAGTTCAATTTCTGCTCACGGCAACCAACACCCAGTGACCATTATCCCCTAGGTCGACTCAGCCTCAAACGAGCACCTGGTGCTGTGTTTAAACATCGCTACTGGGGAGACAAAGGCGGTCGGGCGTGGTGCTGGCCATCCACCTCCTCGTGTGCTCGCTAACAAGCACTTGCCCCAACAGTACGTTAAGGCTATACATGGGATCTTTGTCTTTGGTTTATTGTTTCCCCCACCTCTGTAACTGAAAACAGAGGTGCAAAGCTCCCATTTCCTGCATAAACTCTAGGTTTTACACCCATGCCAAACATTACAAATAGCTGTCATTTGAGGTCAGGAGCTACACCTATAAAACGTCCACCCCGTGCACCATCACCCACCCACCCACGATTTCGCAGACCCAGTGCCGGATTATCGTAGTAGCACAAGTAGCTACACATGCTACGGGCTCCCCACTTTCAAGGGCACCGCGCTAAATGCTTTCAAGCTATCAATTCCGCTTCAGTGATTCTGCACTTGCTCTATTACTATAGTACTATACGGCGTGTATAGTACTATAGTAACTTTTATAAACGACTGGGTGTTTAAGGTTTGCGATTTGTCGCATTACCTGGCTGTATAGCAAATGAAAAAGTACAATTACTTTACTATGCAAGTAAAACATGTGTTTTAATATGTGTGGTTTTTCTTAATAACATATGCTACAGGCCCCGCACTAGCTTACTCCGGCACTGCCTACACACTATACACGCCGTGCTATTCTAAAGGTTGAAAGGTGCGTTTAACGCGACACATATATTTAGGCATCTCAATGCGTGACCGATCACAGTTGAGGTTGCATTCACGTGAGACAATACAATGCAGTACGCATAAAGCACACCATTTAAACACGTATGTTTATAAATTACCTAACTTTACCATTTGTTTCAGAATAAAATAATTGTATCCAATGTACATATTGATTTTTTTACTGCAAATGTTATATATTTTTTTTATAATGCCATATTGACCGACAATACACACTGTATATAAAATATACATTATATGAATAAGTAGACCATTATGCGTGGAACAGAGGCAACGCACAATGGTTAGTGCACTACTACTCTGAACTCCCGCAACCTGAGTTCAATTACTGGCCATGGCTAACCTCATTGGTGAGTGACATCTGGAACAGTCCTGCCACCCCCCTCTCCACCACATCACCACCCCCCTTCACCGACCCACACTGACAAGCTGAGTGAAGTATGAACACACAACCCCCATGACCGACAAGCCAAGAGAATGCCCCTTATCCAGGAGTGCGTTCACAAATGGACCGTACATTATTATTGTTATATTGGTGAAACACTTCGTTTAAGGAGGCACTTTTAGTGCACCTTGCAGCATTGATAAATATAGTACTATCAACAAAAAGTGTTTTTGTGCGATGAATATTTTAGGAGCAAATGTGGATGTAAAGTGTGTAAGAAGATGCTTCATATGCATAACATAGTCGCGTCCAATGAATTATTAATCACACGGGCGTTTTAAATGTTTCTTTTGTATGAAATGTGGTGAAATCTCCGATATCGTCAATGGGGAAAATCGTCAACACGGTGCGTACCGTCCAATTTTGTAAAGATATGAGTCAGGCCCTTACGGTTTATTGAGCGACATCAAATGCGAACTATAATAGAACATTATAGTTCGCATTATTTACTGCCTAATATACGCACATCAGTGGTGCGTAAAACACTGCCACGGAGGCTTAGATTCTCATGTTAATATTCTAATAATAATACTGTATGTCTGAATAGGGTACATCTAACTTCGAAACCTAAAATAATCTCATGTCAGCTGGGAATCGGGAAGACACAAGCACAAACTTCGTGAAAATGAGAACATCTGCTTGAATTAAAACACGCCCAATGTCAGTCAAATGTGGAAACCACAGAGGAATAATTTATCACTTCCCGAACATCGTTTTAAGAAAATGAATACAACTCACAATGTAACAGTTACAAAGCTATGAAAATGTGCACTCCGAAAAGTCCTGTATTGATGGTAAACGTGCCACATTGTTAAATTAACCCATAACCTAGCAGTGATTAGAATGCCCATGCAACACGTTTGCGATGAAGATAATAACGGTCTCTTTGTGGCCTCATACTTGGCATCATATTGCACTATCTGCAGTATATGCAGAATGTATCACAGGTGTCACAATTAATCTTGTCATCCGGTCATTGCACTAATCGGATTATTAAAGGCTTCAAGTGCGTACGCCTGTGACTTAAAATCTCTCGCTAGCGTCCTACAGGATCAAATGTCTGGTTGTCTCTGATCTCGTTAGGAAAATTGACAGCAACGTGGACCTGGAAGCATTGAGGATGAAGCTCGCATTTGAAGTGGAGGATGATTTTGAGATCTCCATTGTGAGCTGTTGCACATATCTTTGTATTGA